TTATTTTATTACAGCCTTCCTCGACACTTACGGCTTCGACGGGCTGGACGTGGACTGGGAGTACCCCGGGGACTCCAACCGAGGCGGGAGTCCAGAAGACTTTAATAACTTTCCCTTGCTGGTTTGTATATCTATAAAGACTCTTGTAATTACTTTTTCTTGAAGAATGTAATGGGAATATATATCTATATATATAATATATACATATATAAATATATATATATATGTATATATATATGCACATATATATATAAATATATATATATATATATATATATATATATATATATATATATATATATATATATATATATTTACACACACACACACACACACACACACACACACATATGTATATATATATATATATATATATATATATATATATATATATATATATATATAAAGAGAGAGAGAGAGAGAGAGAGAGAGAGAGAGAGAGAGAGAGAGAGAGAGAGAGAGAGAGAGAGAGAGAGAGAGAGAGAGAATCTAATGTGCAAAAGAATATAATTTTGCCCAAACGTAAGGGAATGCCGGAAACCTTTGATTACAGAAAATCGTCCCTTTTGCATTCGATATAACCTCACTGCTGACGCGAAATCTCTTGGACATTTAGCTTCAGGAGCTCCGTGAAGCCTTCGACGCCGAGGGTCGCGGTTGGGAGCTGACTATAGCCGCCACCAGCACCGAGGATAAAGTACTCAAAGGGTACAACGTTCCTGAACTGTGCAGGTAGGACAGTTGTCGAAAAAACATGTATGGGCTGTTTTTGTATATCATTGTATGTTTCTGTCATTGTGTATTGATATCATCGTTATATTTTTATTCATCAAATACTTATATATTATTATCATATCATTACATAATTGTATATATATTACTGTCATATCTTTTCATCATCTACATCGGTATTATTATAATCCCATTAATATATCATTAATATATCGTTTTATCATTACATATTCATTTTATAATTTCATCTTTACATAAATGCATATTTAGATAATCATTATATATCATTATCCATCTATATCAGTAATAGTTATTTATATCATTACCCCATTTTTATATCTTCATCATATTCAATTGTTCATGAAATAATTAATTTTTTTTTAGCGCTTCGGAGCTTTATCATTATATAATATATCTTATCTTTACGTCAGGAATATAGACTTATATCACATCTGTATACATTTATGATATTCACGTATACCTGGAACACACAAGTACACACAAGTAACCGAGACCAAAGTCTTACCTTCATATCATTAAGTATTAACATTATTATTATACCTGCATTTCATGATGCTTTATTATGTATTAAATCCTTATTATATTCTTATTTCATTATGAAATTATATAATTTCCATATCTTTATTTCCTTATGTATTAATATGAATATTACAGCTTCATTTCATTATGTATTTTTATTACCATATCATTATATATTAACATCATTATTATATCTTAATATCATTATGTATTCACATGATTATTATATAATCACATCATTGTACATTGACCATGAATAAAGTATAATATAAAGAGAATAAAGTCACCTTGAATGAAAATAGGTTAATGTAGGAGAAAACATGAATGAGAATGAGAATGTTGGGAAAAAGAAAAAGTTGCTGTAGGGAGAATGAAGTATAATTGAAAATGTATAATTTCGAAAGTTCAAGATATTAATTTCGTTCATGCTTTAAAAAAAACTGCATTTATTACGACTATTTGTTTATGACTGGGAAAAAAAAATCTCATTTCTCTAAATTTGTTACAATGATCTGTTCGTTACTGAGAGAGGGAGAGAACATGGCTAAACAGTAGATTAATATATCAAGGCATTAAACAAATACAAATCTTGCAAACCATTCCCCCCATGTCCGATTCTCTTGTCTTGAAGAATGGCGGGGTGCTCTTATGGGAGAACCTTGGCTGTCCTCGGAACAAGATAGTGGTAGGCGTGCCCTTCTACGGAAAGTCCTATACCCTCTGCAACTCCTCTATAAACGGCCTCCATGCCCATATAATCACATCATTGTACATTGACATTATCATTATTATTATTCATATCATTGTCTTACCATTAGTATTATATCTTCATATCATGGTGCATTAACATCATTATTTTACCCTCATATCATCATGTATTAAATCATTATTTTATATTTTCATTATGTACTTATATCATTATCACATCTTTATTTCCTTATGCATTAACACCATTATTATATCTTTATTTCATCATGTATATATATTATTTTCCTTAGAACTGTGGATGCCGTGTACCTAATGACCTACAACCTACGGGGGCTGTGGAATGACTACGCAGACGTCCATTCCATGTTGTACGTAAGACCCGGTCTCGACACAGGCAACAAGCTGGAGTTGAACGTTGTGAGTCACTGGGTCGTAATGAGTGTATGGGGGAAATATGAGGGAGAATGGATATAATGAGTATAAGGGGCGGAATTGGAGCTGCATGTTGTGAAAGAAAATTGGCTGTAGAGAGGAGGAGACATGGATGAGGTTGTAAAATGTATAATGTGTAAGGAAATAGGGAAAGGGTGTGAATGAGAATGTATAATTTCAAAATTTATCTGTATCAATAATTTACGTTGTGTCACTTTGAATGGAAATAGGTCGTAGTGAGTTGGGGGGTGGGAGGTGTGAATGAGAATGAATAAAGTATAATATAAAGAGAATAAAGTCACCTTGAATGAAAATAGGTTAATGTAGGAGAAAACATGAATGAGAATGAGAATGTTGGGAAAAAGAAAAAGTTGCTGTAGGGAGAATGAAGTATAATTGAAAATGTATAATTTCGAAAGTTCAAGATATTAATTTCGTTCATGCTTTAAAAAAAACTGCATTTATTACGACTATTTGTTTATGACTGGGAAAAAAAAATCTCATTTCTCTAAATTTGTTACAATGATCTGTTCGTTACTGAGAGAGGGAGAGAACATGGCTAAACAGTAGATTAATATATCAAGGCATTAAACAAATACAAATCTTGCAAACCATTCCCCCCATGTCCGATTCTCTTGTCTTGAAGAATGGCGGGGTGCTCTTATGGGAGAACCTTGGCTGTCCTCGGAACAAGATAGTGGTAGGCGTGCCCTTCTACGGAAAGTCCTATACCCTCTGCAACTCCTCTATAAACGGCCTCCATGCCCCTATCAATGGCACAGGGCAGAGCGGACCTATTCTCAAGAAAGAAGGTGTCCACATGTATTTCGAGGTAACGTTGTGAATTGTAAATGAAAATATAACATGGATAAAAAGTATCTTATTTCTGAAATACATTAGGTTAGCAGTAAATGTGTACTTAAACTCATGGACTTTCATTTTTCATAATGTTTAAATAATAATATATTTATTATCATTGTCATGTTCGACTTTATTTATCCATTATTACCATCATTATTTTATATTTTGAGAAATACCATATATTTGCTCACTCTTTCTTGCAGACCTGCTACTTGCTCCAGAATGCCGGTTGGGTGCGACAGTGGGATGACGGAGGCCTAGTACCATTCGCTTATTCTGGTAGATAGCCCTGAAGCATGGGTCGTGTGGGGCTGGGAGTATGTGTGGGAATATTTGTATCTGTATTTATTTGGGTCAAGTATGGAAGACAATGTGTGTGTGTGTGCGTGTGTGTGTGTGTGTGTGTGTATGTATGTGTGTGTGTATGTGTGTGTGTGTGTGTGTGTGCAATTTTAAAAGAAAATATTGTTATGAAAATTATTCACTGGCCAAGGAAACAATTTGATCAACTGCTTATTACTTTAAAAAGACAACGAATATACTTAACAAATTGGCTCTGATTTTTGTCTTGTCTCAAACGTCGTAAATAGGTTTACATAAAACGCCATTAATCTTATGCCCACAGAGAATGATACACTCAATCATCACAAATTAATAAATGTTAACTGTACGGATTTCTACCATCAAAAGGATAAAGACGGGAGACCTAACATCGATGATTTTTTAAAATTTCCTTACACCAGATGATAGGCCTATCACTAACTCTCCTATATCGACGCTCCTCAGGTGATCAATGGGTAGGTTACGAGGACATGGAAAGCCTTAAGATCAAAATGGACTACATCCGGAACATGGGCTTACTTGGGGCCATGGACTGGGCCATTAACGATGATGACTTCCGTGACCTGTGTGGCTATGGGCCCTATCCTCTGATGAGGTTTGTATGTGACGTGTAGGGAAATACGTCCACTAGGTTATTTTATTTTAGTATCTTTATATTCAATGCATCTATTTTTTCTTTTGTTTTACTTACACTTCTCTATTGTTTAATATTTTTGTTTAATTCCTTCCATTTGTTTTTATCCTTTTTTTACTCTTACTCTGGAATAATATAATATTTAAAGCCTAGTTCTTTTTTTTTATATAATTCTCTGTTGTTTTTTCTGTTCCAGGACTATTTATGAAGGGCTGAAAAACTACACTGTCCGGAGTACTTAAGTGAACACCTCCAACGTTATTATGAGTTCACAGAAAGGATTTTTGATTATAACTAAAATGTTATAATTTAGTTTTATTTCAGTTTTTACAGTGCATATTCTTGGTGTGACATGCTGTCTGTCTTATCTTGCTTCTAAGTTATCCCACGTGTGCTAGGAATGGCCGGGGTTACCACAGCACATATTTAGTTGTATATAATGGCAGGAAATCATATTCAATTTTCACTAAGTTTTTAAGATATTATATTACATATGTTTGATGTTTATTGTTTGTAGCTTAAACATCTCAGTCCTTTTTCTTAAGTAAACTTCGTCAGTGCACATTGGTCAGTATATATATATATATATATATATATATATATATATATATATATATATATATATATATATATATCAATGTACATCCAGTTTGTAATGGAGTCTGGACAATGATACAACAGTTTCTCATGTGTTAAAGTATTTAGTCTCAGAGAGTACAGGATAATTACAAAATGACAACTTTGTCTGTAGGTTATAAACTAAATAATAGGCTGGAGAAGAAATGTATAACGCAATTTATCAGTATCTCTTATATACCCAAAATATAAAGTATTTACAAAGAATATAAATAGCCTCGATATATCACTTGACTACATCGCGGAAAGCAAGAGATCCGACTATCTAGTGTAAACTTGATAAAGAAAGCATGGTAACACTGTGCGCATGTTCATCCTTGTAGGTATTAAAGGACAATGATTCTTAACCTGGGAGGAAGAGGTATATTTTTTATTCTCTTAAGTGTGTGTGTTAATACTGTGTTTATGAAAAAAAAAAGTTTTGCTTGCACTCACCCAGTGAAATGGTAGAAATTTATCTGATAATGTTTGTTATTCTCTTAACAACTCCGTAGGCTAATACCGAGGTTTTGAGAAAAGCAAACACAAGGCTCTTATTAACTTTTTTTACGTTTATTTTGGCTTCCCATTTTCTGCAATAATTGAACCCCCCATGGTTGGGGGTGAGGCGGCGTAGGGGGGACTTTGACATGTATTTAAAGGTGCCAGGGGGCGTGGCATGGAAGAAAAATATTAATGACAAATGTGTTAAATAAAGATACCTAAAAAAAAGAAAAGATTGCCACCTTTTCTGCGACAAGTGAATTCGTTGCATTGGAGACTTTTTCAAACAGTAGAAAAAGCGTTTAGAATTCCCAGCAACATGTTTCACGTCATCGTTTAAAGGCAACTTTTCTAGGAAACATCACCCAACGAGTTGAATGTTGGTCTGGTGACGTCACTGATTTTCAAAGACGTTGATTGATTGAAGACTGTACTGTACATTGTGAGGAAAAATTATCTAAAACCTCCTTTCGTACAGACCGCTCTGGTTCCTCTATAACCGTTGGCAATCTTTCTGGTCTGACCACCAATAAACTGCAAAGCATAAAAGCCTTCCATCTCTCCTAGATCGGCCCCATACCACCAGAACAGATACTGGATAACTGCTCTTGCTCATTTACAAATAGGTCACACTAGCCTCACCCATTCATACCTCGTGTCACGCTTCTACCCACCCCTATGCTCTTCTCTCAGGCTCCACATATCCTACTATCCTGCCCCCGCTTTACTGAAGCCCGTACCCCCGTTTTTCCTTACTGGTCCCAACCCCCCAACAGACTCGCGGAATCATCCACTTTTTCATTTGGCAACCTGTTCTCCTTCCTCAGACACATAAATACTCTCCATTTAATCTATTCACTCTTTGTTCTTATCCCTTCCCCTTTCCATTAATCCCCTTTCTACACCATTTACTCCCAGGTTTCTATTCCTTTCACTACCATAATATCTTATGATGCCATATGACCGTCGAAATGAAGACATTTTGCTCTATAAAGAACTCCCTTTTACTCCTCTCGCCACAATACTTTATCATAGTGCTATAAGACCTTTGATAACTGGCACATTTGTTTGTTTAAAGCCTTCAACATTAAACACCATCGCGTAAATGGTCTTTTTTTTTTACAATATTACATAAATGACATTACATCCTAATCATATAGAAATGTAACTGTACACAAGTAGGCATGTTTCACCCAGCACCTATCACGGTTAATTTCACCAATCGCATTAATGCACAGTTGTAAAATTATATGTATTTTACAATATATTGGATATTAAAATAACCAAAGGAAGGCATTGAGACGCCACGCCGAGATCTGGCGAATTTCTGACACAAAGTCTACGGGAACCGACAGATCATTTCACTTGTGGACGGTCCGTTTTAGAAGTAATTTCTACTTACAGTATGTGTGATTTTAGAAAATGACGTTGTAGTTACATTTTACAGAGGAATATTTAGGGCAGGGTTCTTAATGTTTAGTGATAACACATGGGAAACAAGCATAAATTGAATAGTTTTCTGCTCATGATATGCATGCCTATTTAACATGATCATTATCCTCATATTAATTTATCACACACATTATACCTATATCAGTATACCTATACAGTATATATATATATATATATATATATATATATATATATATATGTGTGTGTGTGTGTGTGTGTGTGTGTGTGTGTGTGTGTGTGTGTGTGTGTGTGTGTGTGTGTATGTATGTATATGTATATATATGTGTATATATATATATATATATATATATATATATATATATACATATATATATACATATGTATGTATGTGTGTGGGTATGATTATATATATATTTATATATATAAATACATATATACACGCATATACGTATGTATGTTTGTATACACACACACACACACACACACACACACACACACACACACACACACACACACACACACACACACACACACACACACACATTAAAAATGTAAAAATTGAAATGTAGCATCTGTTATTTTTCAAAGTTAAAATCTACGATAGCATATGAATAAAATATAAATTAGGATACCCTATAATAGTTTATTGAAATTTTCTTTAACCATTTTAAGGGTGACAATTATATTTTGAAGTAATTACGTAATTTTATTTTATCTTGTATTATTATAATGCTTTTAACTATTTAGCAGATAAAATATCATAAATATTATCCGCCAAAAAACTGCATTACTTTAGTCAGCGACTTTACAAAGATGCCCGTAAGAGACGGACATTGCACGATACTCATTAGTAATTTGGGACAAAAGTGTTTATATGCTATGTTATATTAGAACATAGTGAGTGTTAGTACAGAATAGAATAGGAAAATGTGCAGTACTTATAATTCAAGGTATCAAAGCCATTTCTCCCATGCAACCTGAGCTGATAATGTGTTGCTATTTACAGGAGAGACACATGCGTCCCAGGAGTTTGTTTTTGTTTGTTCTAAAATTCCTAGCTCTACCCAGTTTCCGGTAAAGAATATTCGTTCACACACTCCATTGTCGAACTCTATGGTTGATGCTCTGTTGAAGTTTGAGGAATTGATGTCATCGTTACATTTAAAATTTATTTGTGGATGTCAGCCCTGACATTCTGCATTTAGGTGCTGGGTCGGTGTCGAAAGTCGAGGAATCTCAAATTACTGATGTTATCTTCGTCCTGCCGCGTCATACCGCATTACCATATTATCAGGACACTAAATTGAACATATCAGGTATGTGTTACTGAATTCTTTTTTTTCTCTCTCTCTTTTTTTTTTTTTTTTTTTTTTTTTTTTTTTACATTTTTCATTTTCCAAAGTATAATCAATCGTCAGTTCAGTGAAAAGCAAACTTTAATGGATGATCATGTCGACTCTGCCAGCCTCCTTGCCCTTTTGGTTCTTCTGAATCTATAATTTTCAGCGAAACAACCTCGCCAGGGACTTTTCTGAGTATTAGGACGAAGCTAAGAAATCCAAGGTGATTTAATCCTATTCGAAGACTAGGACAGTTTAATTGTATAACCGTAAGAGTGCATATTACGTTCTTTTGAGTTTGGAAGCGCCTTGCCAATCATTTTCCCTTTATTCTTAAATTCCCTTTTTTCTGAAAAAAGGTCTTTCTTTCTCTCCCTCGCTTCCCGGCAAAAACTATTATCCTTCAACGCTGACATTCCCAGATTCGCCATAGATAGCCTCCAGGTCGTACACGATTCAGATATGAAGATGAAGTTACAAGATGCATTTCTTATTATTATTTATTCAGTGCTTTCACATATAGTTATTTTGGCATTTAAAATTCAGCAATTTTTCCTTTTACCTTAGCTTTGCGCTGTATATCATTTGGATGTTTCAAAATATTAATTGGATATGTTTTAAAGTATCATTTGGATATATTTCAAAATATCAATTGGATATGTTTCAAGATATAATTTGGATGTTTCAAAATATCAATTGGATATGTTTCAAGATATAATTTGGATGTTTCAAAATATCAATTGGATATGTTTCAAGATATAATTTGGATGTTTCAAAATATCAATTGGATATGTTTCAAGATATAATTTGGACGTTTCAAAATATACATTTGGATATGTTTCAAAATATCAGTTGGGTATGTTTCAAAATATTAATTGGATGTTTCAAAATATCAATTGGATAAGTTTCAAAATATAATGTCGATATGTTGTAAGAATATTTTTTTTTTATGGCGCTTAATAGGAGGTATGCTGATAGGAGGTATGCTGAGCCTGAAATCATTCAGTCTCTTCACTAATATTAAGATTTTATTTCATTTACAGGATGTATGTCTTAATATGCTATATAACTGCGAAAATTAATTTTATTTCACTTGCAGGATAAGTACAATTCTATCCATTATTACAAATGAATTAATTTCTGATTCAGATCAAACTGAATACAATGGGATGTTTATAACAGCCGGCTTCTTTTCAGTACCGTGCTGTATAAAGGTTCAAGAAAAAAAGCACGGAAAATAGGCCTTCTTCATTATACTCAACTTAAACATTTAACCATCAACCCTCAAAGACATACCCTGAAACTTAAAACCCTAATGATAAAACTGAAGAAACGTGATCATTAAGAGAAGCTGATCTTTCCGTTCCACTGATTGTCCCCTTCCTCCTCTCCTTCCAACCTCCCTCTCTTCTTCTTCGTCTTCTCTCTCCTTGTTTATCGTCTTCTCCCCTTCTCTAGATTTCACTATACATCAGCCTGAAGCCCCTGCTCCTCCTCTTGCCGGAGAAGAAGATCCTCATGAGGTTCGAGTCCGAAGTGACGCCCGGCGGGAGTGAGAAGCCGTTGAAGGAGAAGACGGAACCAGGGGCGTAGTAAGGGTCGGTGGTTGGGTTCACAGCCACGAAGTTCTGAGCGTAGGTTCCCAGGCGCATGTGCGTGAAGGTCAGCTGAACTTTCTTGCCAACCGACGCCTGGAAATGGATGGAAGAAAGAGTTTAACACATGTTTATTGGTGGTTGTGTGTTCCCAGTGGTTTAGTGGACTAAGATAAATATATATTCTTCCTTCTTAAGTTAAATAACCTATTCAGAAACCTCTTGGATTAGTTGGGAAACGGAGTGTCACGAAGCAGAGACAAAAAGAGAGAAAAAAAGTCATTCGGATCAGCATGCTCCTACGTGCCACCATATCCCTCTGTCAAAACTAAAACCCATCACTGCTTTATATGAATATTTCTACATTTACCGGTGATTGTTAGAAATATTGTTGGACTTGATTATCACTTCAATCCACTGGGCTTGATTTGCTTCCAATCCTCGATTTACCTCTGTCTTGCACAGAACATATGCATACATAACTCCCACACGCACACACACACAAACACACACACACACACACACACACACATAAATGAATAAATAAGTAAAAATTAAAAAGATAAAGACATATGCTTACAAACACGATCAAATGGGCTTAATCCTTCCAAATAAATACGTAATCATTACCAACACTTACCATGATTTTCCATTCACAGTACTTCTTCCTCGGGTGCTTGCGGGGGAATCTGGGCGACGCGATGACTCCCCCGGGGCTGGCGGAGAGGACCTGGGGAGGGACGCCCGTGGAGAGGTGGGATGGACTGCCGCTACAGGAACTTGTTTTAGTTTTATTAGATGACATACATGCATACATACGTGCATACATATATATACACATATATTTACATATATATATTCATATATATATATATACACACACACACACACACATACACACACACACACATATATATATATGCCGCCCTGATGTCTCTCAGATTCCAGACGGAATTCCATAGACTTCGATGTCAGCAGACAAAGTACGGTTACCCTTTGTCATCCGGTCTCCTTCCCTTGATGCTCTATACATGTGCTTTTATTAACGAGTTATCCAAAGTTGTTTTTATGGGCTTTCCTATGTTAATACTTTGATTCATGGTGAGCTACAATAGCATTTTTTCTGTTAACAATGGAGGAACAAAAAGTACAAGTCATACAATGAGCCTAATACACATACGCACACACACACACACATATA